CTCAACATTGTTGGCCCAGCGTTTGCAAGCCCCGGCCAAACGATCGCAACATTTGAACGCAACATATCGCAACATTGTCGGGCGCAACATGTCGCGCGCGTTTGGCCACCCTGTTGCGACGTGTTGCGACGTGTTGGGTATTGAAAATCGAACCAGTGCCCATGCCCGAGCGCAACATTGTTGTACGAACCTGGCCAAACGACTACAACATCATGTATCATCCTCAAATGTTGCATGAAAAATTTGACTATTTTCAAATTTGAGCCAACAACACCCAACATTTCGCAACACGTCGCAACAGGGTGGCCAAACGCGCGCAACATGCTGTGTCCAACAATGTTGCGATATGTTGCGTTCAATGTTGCGATCGTTTGGCCGCAACTACAACTGTAAATGAAGTTTTAGCAGCAAACAAAACAAAACGCCTGTTCGGAGCCCGCTCGCCCGCGCGGGCACACGAAGCAGTCAGCGGTAGTCAAAACAGCTCATGAGCAAGTGCTGGTCTTATAAAGTCTGGATTTTTGAATGCGTGTCTACGCGCGCGGGAATAACGGAACTCGCGAATGCTTTTACATGAAAACAAGCCCGGTGACCCCTTCTTTTTATTGTTTTAATACAATTTTATTATTGAGAGGAAGCGTCAGAAAAAAAAATAAAAAAATTCTACGGACGGAAATTTGCACTTTGTACAAATTGTCGTTTTTACAAGTTTACAAGAAATCGGCTCCGTATAATTATTTTAAAATTGTTGCGCATTTTCATTTTTAGATGCCCAAAGCTATTGATTAAAAAAACTCGGGGTCACCGGGTTAATTTTTTAGTTATTAGTGTCATGAGCGAAAAATCATGTCAAGTCTGGAAAATCCTTTTAGAATGTTGCCATGTTAACTGCTGACGACAAAATATCAGCTTATTTAGGTCAAGTATAAATGATATAATCCAAACCTACAAAAATATAACAGTGGACCTGGTCTGCCTTTTTGTTCTATTCTTACAAAGTTATGAGCCGTCAAAAACCTGAAAACTGTTATGAGCCACCTTAAACCACTTGTATGCAAAACGAAAGCAAATGCGAATTATTACTTTCAAAACTGAAGTAAAAACCGCAATACAAATACTTTTGTCGTCTTTGATAAATCCTATAATTGTCTGTATTCTCTAGGTTCCACTGCCGTTTCAATTGATCAAAATCTTTTTCCTAATTGTGCGGTTTACCGCTCTGCCGAGTTTCGCGTGACACATGCCGCATATGTTCTTACCGACTTCGTCTCAAGTTTCTGCTTGGCGTTAAAAGGACGCGGCCAGCTGACGCCGATAGTATCCTGGGAACAAGCTCGAGTCGCACACTGACCCCGACTTTCATCTAGTGTTTTTCAATACATGAGCTCGACATTCTTAATTTCTCTTTGTTTCGGCTTAGCACACAATGGATTTCATTGCTTAACGAGCACTTAAAAAATCTTCGAGATAGTATAATGGGGTCCGTCGGCTTTGTCCCTGCAGAGGTTTTGACGTCAGTGGTACGTCCGCCTCAATACATCTGAACTTCGACCAAACTCTCAAAGTTTGATTAAAAACCAGTTTTCTAGCAAAGAATAAATCATTCTTTTTGAAAAACCAACATACAAAGACCATCTCCTCCGAATCTCAGTCAATGAAAAACGAGCTGGCTTGAACGAAGCTCGTAAAACGCTGTCCCAAATTTCGCTCGGCTACGGGGATGTACAGACGTTGCCACGAGAAAGAAATCTAGTAGGAATCATATTTTCTTACGTCCTTCTAGCAAACTATAGTTTATTAAATCTTTAGAATTAACCGGTCGTAAGGTGCGGCGCAGCAAGGGCGAAGCAGTTGTTTACAATTTTGGTCTCAGGGGACGTTATTTTGGCGGGTTCATAAAGCTATGCAAATGATTTAGTTAAGTGATATTAAAACAAAAACTTTCTTAATTCTTCAGCTGTCCGATTGTGAATGAGGTTATACGTGTGAGCGGCGCGCTGTTTCTTGGCTCCTTTCAACTGAAGTAATGTGAGAATCTTGTCTGTCAGAGATCCGAGAAATTCAAGGTAAAGTTATGTGGTTATAAAAGTGTTGACAACATAGAGAATCAAGCGAAATATTCTTAGTTATCGACATTATCCTCAAGACTTTTCAAAACAATCTTGGCAATAAAGAACAGCTTTGTTTAAGAAGCAATTAAACCCCTACCGGCAAAAGTTTAGCGCTTGCCTCTGCGAAACAAAACCGGCACTGTAATTGAAAAAAGTGACTTTGCTTTCATACTTTCTTCCTCATTCTTGGACACTCGACAATTAGTATTTTCAACAAGAACAACACCGTGAGCATTTTAACTATAATGTCATTCATGTTTTCATCTTGTTTGCTTAAACTGCGCTAATAATGCATTTTAAAAATGCGTCAGTCACGCCTCTGAGATTACAGTTTCACAGAGAAACCGATGGAAGTTTTACTCTCTAAACTGATCCAAGTTATTTTCCTTCTCTCCTATCATCTCAAGTATCTGTTGACAAACAAACGGATCTTTCGGCTTAATATTCGCGCCCACTTTACTTAACCCCTTCGAACCTCACTGGAATCAATTACAGCAAGGTTTCACATTGTTACATCACATGTCGGCACGCTCAAACAAAGTGATTGAATGATGGTATAATTCTTGTTTGTTTGTTCACTGGCTTGTAATCCAAACAGCCTGCTCTGTGCACAGCATTATTCTTATCAAGTTTTGCGAACGGTTAAAAAAAACATTCTTGCTTCCCGCATATATTTTCGTCTTTACAGCAACGCCGTAGAGACGTTTGCCAATATGTACGAGATTTCCTTTGTTGACGATGATCTCGAAGATTTCAGAATCCAGGATCTGCTTGGAGAAGGATCGTTCGCCCAGGTCTACAAATGTGTCGAGACCAAGTCGCAAACGGTGTTCGCACTCAAAGAATTTGACACAAAACACAAAGAATTTGATGAGAAAGCCGTAGAGCAAGAGGTGCTCGTGTGGACAGACGTGATTCACGAAAATATCGTCCGCTTGTATGTATCCTTTACCACGGGGTCTTATATGTACTTTGTTCTGGAGTATGTGGATGGAGGAAGCCTCTTTAATCACATGATGCAACGGCACAAATACAGCGAAAAGGAGGCTGCCAATATTATGAAACAGGTAAGGTTCTACTGAATTACTGAATTTTCTGACGCACGATTTCTGACACAAGGTTGCAACACCGATAAAGCTGAACTCAGCTGTTTCAAAATGCAGTTTTGCAATCCTTTATCAGATTGATTGCAGCTTTCCTATAAAATATATTATTGCCGATGTGTTCTGTTGGGTGTAAAGAGGGAGAAATTTTAACGTTTTGTTGTTTTAAAGGTAGTTCTGGTAATGCTGAAACGAAAAAGGTGACTGAACATGTAATGTCAGAATTCAACTTTATCTGATCTCTTTATAAATAGTATGACAAAAATGTTTCAAAGCTGAGTGAAATATACCTGCCCACCACAGAAAATTCATTGAGCTTTGCTACAAGTAACAAGTAAAGTTAAGGCAGATTCAGTAACTTCAAACCGAAAGCTAAGCTCCGTTCTTCTATGTTGCTAAAGAAAAAAAAGTCATTAAACCTTGACAGCTCATTCTGGAACCATTTAAATCAGTTGGGTCTTAAAGGATAGACAGTTGGAAGATAAAATCTTACATTCCAAAAAAATTAAACCAGCTATTCAAGCCATAGTTCACGATAACAATATCCTGCTGATTGTAAAAAAATCAATCTGTGTTCGACGGATTATGTATTTCACCATCTCGCGTGTGTCTTACCTGCTTGACATACTCTGATGAATGGTATTTTCTATACAAGGGGTAATCATCGGATTTGTTTCACGTTACAGTAAAATCCGCAAAAACAAAAGTACAAATGCGCTTCAATTTTTTTTATCGAGAAAGCAAAACTGTTGAAATTCGGTGAGGATCGCAAAAGGTTTTTCACTCTACGAACTTTTGAGGAATTCAGTTTTAGCGGAACTCTGCGTTTCTCAGTCACTAATTGACTAACCAGCCGGAACAGTTTTAAAGGAACTTAATTTAGCTTATTTTTACCACAATTCTACCAAACGTTAATGGCGTCAGCGATAGCCTTATCTATGTATTGACATCGTGCTAGTCTGACAAACAATTTTCATCTTATAATTTTCTGCATATTCGTGTGATAACCCAATTCTGACCTGTTAACCTCCCCTTCGATCGAATTCTTTACACGTTTTGTTATACAGTATCAATCATTACTTTGAATTCAAAGACCTCCTCAAATTGTTTTCCAACACTTGATATTAGACAACATGAGCTCAACAATCTAAGAAATTTCTACTTCGTACGAACATACAATTGCAAACGGTTGTTTTAAAGGCTTTACCGTGGTAAAATGTAACCTCGTAAACCCTAGATTTGAACAAATAAGCAGTACTAGAGCCATTGGTTTTCTGCCAAAATTGAGCTGATATCAAGGGTTTTCAAAAATAGACTGTTAGTTGTCTAATTTTCGAGGGCGTGACAACGAACCTTACAGGCTTAACATCGGAAGGCAATGGGTAGCACGGAGATTACTTCTAATTAACTGAGTCAACTAAACTGGAGCCGTTTGCATGTAGACTATCTTAGAAACGTGTATGAAGTCAGGACCTGTTTTCCTAACTGAAAATCAGTGGCGTCGCTAACCTTTAAGCAACTAAGTCACGACATTTTGAGTTATTTTGGCCGCGTACAAAATTACCTACAAATTGAAGGAAACCTAAAAAAATAGTAGTTTACTGTGATAGGAAAACATCAAAGAGATGAAAATATACCATAAAGGAACCGGCAAGGATGGTTAATGGAGAAGATTAACACGGATTGCAAACGACGAACTTGGAAAAACCTTTTCAAGATGCCGGCAAATTGTGACGTAGTTTCTTTAAGCATGGGCTTAACAAGAACTTCCGTGATTTTCTTTAAAGCAGCCGAAACAAAATTTTCGTGGTTTTGGTTGCCTTGCATGATTCAACAGCGAATCTCTGCTTTATTTACGTTTTGAAAAAGGAACACGAGGTCTGGCCACGCCCCTAAAAAAAATGAACGAATTAGAAACGGGCAGCCTTTATATCTTGTTATTCATTATTCAGTGTTAAAAGTTAAGGTTTTATTAATTAATTAATTTAAACCTAAGTGCTTTAGTTGGCTATAAAGAGTGCACCAATAGTGAAACGTGGTTATAATAATATATCTAGATAATTGTAAAAATGTTTTGTACGGAATCTTCTTTACAATTTAAAACTTATAAGCTTGTCTGTGTTGATTCACGATAATTTCTCTATCTTTTCACACTGTCATTTCTTTGGAACTCCTGTTGCTCCTTAGGTACTTGAAGCTCTCCATTATCTCCACAAGAAACGCATTGTCCACCGAGATGTCAAACCGGATAACATACTGGTCAAACAGGTTCCGGACTCTGATAATAAAACCAAACAACAACTAGCCATCAAGCTATGCGACTTTGGGTTCGCTTTCCAGCTCCCACGTGGCGCAGATGTCACGTGTTGCCCCGCGCGGGGTGCGCCGATGTTTTTGGCGCCAGAAACAATTCTGGACAACCCGATTGGTCGCCCCGTGGATATTTGGTCAGGTGGTGTCCTGCTTCATCTTCTTGTGGCGGGATATCCGCCATTTTGGCACGATAACAACGAAAAAATGTTACTGGCTGCTGCTCGAGGGCAGTTCAGCTTGTCATCTCCAGGCTGGAGCAAAATTTCCAATTCTTGCAAAGATCTCGTTAAGTCAATGCTCACAGTACAAACATCGCAGCGAATTACGGCTGTAGAGGCCATTAGGCATCCCTGGATTTTCAAGATGTCTGCCTTGGACTCGCCGCGTCCACGAAGGAAACACAGTAGCGCCTTGTCGAACAGTTCCCGGTTGACAGAGAAGTTGAAGTGCACCATTAGCGAGATGCACTCCAGTTTGAAACTGCAGCGTTTAGGTCTGGATCATCTGAAGGGAAAATTCTTTCCTCTTTATCATTCAGCCATGAATTTGTCCGAGGTCAGATAACATCGGTATCTTCCTGGGTGTCGGGCGTGTAAATTCAGTATTACTCGATAGGTTTCTGCACATCTCGGGGAAGGAGTAAGAAAAGTCCGATCTCATAACTCCCTCTATATGACACTTTATCTCAAAAGTACCTCTGCAGGTAATGACGTACATGTATTATTAAATCTCCCCAGCCCCGTGGCCAGGGGGACACCTCTTAAGGACGGTGGATTCGATAAAACAGACAGTCTGGGCTGGTCCCGGGCATGCCAGTGATAAAGGTTATAATATATTACAAATAGTTCTCATTTCACAACCAGAATAATTACGTTCTCGACACTGACAAATAAGAGTGGCGTTCAACTGTTTCGTTTATATTTGGAGGTGTTTTAGCATGGGAGTGAATTTTGTGAATCAGTTGTATTTAATTTACATAGCGTTTTTATAACAAATGCAAGAAGTAATTGCTTTGAACGATAATTTCTTCAATCAATAGTTCACTTATACTTTGTTGTTGTTAAGACATGTTGTCCAAATGCAAATCTACTTCGAATTTCTGACATGTTCTGCTTATATGTATACGAACTTCCATTGAGAGACAATCGTGAAAAAAAGTCTTAGGAAGTTGGATTACAGTCAAGATGGTTTTCAAGTGTGTGATCATAACTTGAGCATTTTCCTATTGTTAAAATGAGTACCGTTAACTAATTATGAACAACTTTTGATGCACGATTCAATAAATTATTTTAACGTAAACGTATTGTTTAGTTTCTCGCTTTTTTATTATTTTGCCCAAGTTTATTGATCTTGTGCTAAGGTCATAACCTCGTTCCCAGGGAGTGTGGGAAGACGAGAGACACTGGAAACGAGGTTGCCAAGGTCATTGGATCCTAGGGACCGTTCATTTTTTATCAGGTAGGGGGGGCTGGTGGGATTTGGGGGGGGG